CGGGGCCTCCCTGGAGGGGTGGGAGGGGCACGAAACTATGTAAATAGTATGGTATTCCGATACCCTCCTCGCTCAGGCGGGGCCTCCCTGGAGGTGTGGGAGGGGCACGAAACCATGTAAATAGTCTGGTATTCCGATACCCTCCTCGCTCAGGCGGGGCCTCCCTGGAGGGGTGGGAGGGGCACGAAACCATGTAATAGTATGGTTTTTCGGTATGGAGTGTATGGAATGGTATGGTGTATGGTATGGTATGGTATGGTTTGGTATGGTATGGTATGGTATGTGTGGTAGGAACTATGGTATGGTATGGTGTGTGTGGTAGGAATAATATGGTGCTGTATGGAAGATGGAGCGGGAGGTGGGTGGGAAGGAGAGGGTGTTCTGGGAAAACAAGAACCCCACTCAGGATGTGGGGAATAACAATAGTAAAAGGAGGAGGAGGAGGAGGAGGAGGAGGAGGAGGAGGAGGAGGGGGAGGAGCGCCCCCCGACACTGCGGCGAAGCGCGGGCGCGGGCCGGGCGCCAGCCCAGCTCGCAGAGACAACGACGGACTCCGCCCCTCTGGAAGGGCGTACCGCGGGAGGGGAGCAAAAACTGGAGGGCAGGGACCAATGATGGGTCCATTTTCCACCACCACTACCCCAGGTAGGAGGGGGAGGGGAAGGAGAAGGAGGAGGAAGAGGAGAAGGAGGAGGATGAGCAGCAGGATGAGGAGGAGGAGGAGCAGCAGGAGGAAGAGGAAGGCCCTTCCCATCCTCCTTTCTCACCCGTCCTGCCAATGGTAGTGGTGGTGGAGAATAAGCCAATCAACCAGGATGGGAGAGGAGGAGAGGGCGGACGGGGAGGCGGAGGAGGAGGAGGAGGAGGAGGAGGAGGAGGAGGAGGAGGAGGAGGAGGAGGAGGAGGAGGAGGAGGCGGAGGAGGAGGATGGGGAGGAGAGGACGGAGTGGGAGGGGGGGGGGCAGGGCGAGGGCCAGAGCGCGCCCTCACGGATCGACCTCGCCCTCACGCGCCCTTCTCCTTCCTCACCCACGGGTCGACCTCGATCTTCTGGCCGTTGATCTCGGAGCCGTTGAACATGGCGATGGCGGTCTGCGCCTCCTCGGGCGAGGAGAACCAGGCGAAGCCCTCCTTGCCCTGCTTGATCAGCTGGACGCGCTTGACGGTGCCGGCGGCCGCGAAGTTCTCCTTGATCTCCTCGTGCGTGGTCCCCTCGGGTATGCTGCCGAGCCACACGGTGGACGCCGCGTTCGAGCCGAGGACTCTGAAGCCGCCGCCCTTGCCCTTGCCGCCCTTGCCGCCCTTGTTCCAGCCCTTGCCGCCGTCCCAGGCCTTGCCGCCGCCCCAGCCCTTGCCGCCGCCCCAGCCGCCGCCCCAACTCTGCATCACGCCTCCTCCCTTGGCACCCTTGTCCTTGCCCCAGCCCATGTCTTCAAGGCGCGGCCTGGCGCGGCGCTGTGGCGATCGCGGGGGGCCCGGGT